AATAAAGCCGTGCGCGTTCTGCCAGGCGCGCTGCTCCTCTGCAAGGCACCCACACTTTGCCAGCAATCCCAAAGAACGAGGTGTTTTGTTTTTTTCTCTCCACACCTAATAAGATGTGCTGCCAATTTGCACCCCTCTCCAAACCCAGCTTGCCCACACCAAGTCCTCAGTTGTCCATAAGGGGCTTGCAGCATTGTGGCTCGGCAGCCTTGGCATCCCTCCTGCTGCTTCACTGCTGGCAGCCCTTTGCGTGGTCCTCAGCAGGGATGGGGGCTGTAGGAGACATGTCCTCTCAGCAGTGGTGGCTGGGGGGCTTCACAAGTGAAGGGTGAGCAGGATCAGAGGAACCCTGGGAGCTCAGAGCACAGGATGAGTTGCAAGGGTGACCCGAACATCTCTGCCCACCATCTTGTGTTTCTACCCATTACTTTGGTGAACAAGGCTTAAGAAAGGAATCCCTACTGGCACCCAGGTGCCAATCTCACCCATTGCTGCTCCGTAAGATGTCAGACCTGAGATGAAGGTCCAGTGGTGGCCCTTGTAGGGCAACACCAAACCCTGGCAAACACAAGGTGCTGCCCTCTCATCCCATCACCACCACGTCACAGGAAGGAGCAAGGTTGTTCAGCCTAGGTTGGCTCTGGGTGGGATCTGCTTTTGCAGTGAAGATCTGCTTAAATGCCAAATAAGGTGACTCCTCACTTCCCTCAATTTTGCAAGAATCTCCCTTCCCAAGCCCCCTAACTTACCGTCCCCAGCATGACTTCCACATCTCACATACATGGGCTGTCCCTAAGGAAGAAGTGGCTGAGACACTGCCAGTGGTGCACGTGTCAGGGGATCCCATTCCCCAACCCCAACACATCCATAATTCTCAGGTTTCCAAAGATGGGCAATAACCTTTTTCTGAAGAAAGCAGATGCAGTTGGGTTTCTCCTCCCCATCCTGCTGGGTAAAGGCAGCCCCGGCAGCTGCCACATCCCCGAGGCTCAGCATCTCCGAGGAGCGGTGATCAAAGCCACCCCTCTCCTGTCGCGGTAGGCTCCGGATGTCAGCTCCATGACACCCCGCCTACCCATCCTGCCGGAGAGACTCTGTGCATTCATCAGGCATCTCCAGAGAGGCACACAGCAATCTGGAAGGCCCAGAGATGCCAGACCGCTAATGTGCTAGGGAAAAGACGTCAGTGAATATTACAAACGCCCCAGAGGACGAGGCAGGCCAAGGGAGGAAAGACCTGGAAGGAATCAGACAAAAAAAAAAAAAAGAGGGCGAGAGCAGTCACGTGGGAAATCCACGGAGCAATGGCACTGCCTTCTTTCTTATTTCAAAAAGGGGGTTACTGATGGGGCACATTTAATTGCACTGAAAACTGGCAAAGAGGGTCTCACATTCCTCTCCTTCTGTCCAACACTGCAGTGTCAGGTGCCACCACCCCTGACCTGGGGGGAGGCAGCCCAAAAATGCAACGCACAAGTCCTGCTTGTGCACTGCTCCTGTGAGACGGACACAGCCGGCAGGGACCGAGCATCTGTGATCCATCTTTGCGGGAGCAGGGCTCATACTGCAGCAGGAGCATCACCCCCCCAGGGCAGTGTCACCCCACCATCACGCTGTCAGTCACGCCAGGGACAGCCCCTGGGCACGCAGAAGCGCAGGCACGGGGTGGGGGTAAGGTGGGGGGAAGCTGAGCATCCTGGTAGCCTGAAGCCCTCGGCTCACCCAGCCTTCCCTTCCCTCCGAGCCCTCCAGCAGATACTGGCTCAGCAGCAGGTGCAGGGGAAGCTGAGCCAGCCCAGAGCTGCTGGTCGCCCAGCAGGTCCACACAGCATGGCCACGCCAGCCTGCTCTCCCTCCGCCGAAGCCAGAGCAGCATCTAGGTCAGGCTCGGAAGCAAACAAAAAAGCAGCCGAACAGCCCGGCTCAGCTGGGACCAGGGGACGCTGACACAGTGACCGTACGGCAACGGCTCAGCCCCAGCACGGTCCCGCTCCTTCCCTGTGTCACGGGAGAGCTGCTTATGGAAAAACAGAGCAAAAAAAATACAGGGAGTAAGTTTCAGTGCAGCACCTGAACGTGACACCTCCTCAGGAACAGAGGAAACTGCCCGCAGGCTTTCAGACCCACCAGCTGGCAAAGGGCAGCGTGGGCATCTGCAACCTCCTGCCTCCCTGCAACCGCTGGTCACAGCTGGAAGGATCCAACTCGCCAGCACAAGTCATGCTGGATAAACACAGCAATGATCCTCTTCAGCCACCTGGGCACCCACAGCCCAGCAAAACTGCAGGGGCATTTACCCAGCCCACCACATAATAAACAACAGTGGGGATACAGAAGGGTCTTCCAGGGATGCGAACCGCCTCCACGAAAAACATCTGAAGAGTATGACGGGCACGGTCTCACCAGAGACTTTCCTGGCTACAACTGCCACGCGTGATGACTTCCACTGTGGGTGACCTGGAGAAGCTTCGACGCTCTGATTTAAGAGATAACCACCTTACACTGTTCCTAACCCCAGCACTTATCACTGCCTGACTCAGACTGGAGTCAAACCCCGACTTTAATCAGCGTTCAGTGTTATTAATAGAGCCATGCACAAAACCTTTCAGGCGGAAGAGCCCAGGCCAGAAGCAGCATCATTTGTCTGCCAGCATCACCTCTGACAAAGCAGCTCTGCCCACCTGCCTCCCACCAGCTCAACCCCCAGCAAAGCCCACCTTTCCTTCCATTTCTACCAGAAACACCCCACAGCCCTCCCTTGAAAGGCCAGAGGCAGGAAGGCTCCGAGCTGCTCATCTTCTGAGCTTTTTCTGATCCCACCCCACATTTCTTCCCCTGGGCAGGCACCGTGCTGCTACCCCCAGCCAGCAGCTCAGAGCCCCACCGCGGTCCACAGATCCATCTTCAGATGACACCACTGAGATGGCAAAGCCTGCGGAGACTGGGAGAAGCCGGGCAGGCTGGGGGAGGGGAACCGAAGCATCCTAGAGGGCATCTTTGCCTCCTCCCAGGCGGCAGGAGGCTAAATCCAGGGCGGCACGGCGAGGATGAGCTGCCTCTCAGCACAGCCCCACCTCACCCGGGTGCCCCCCGCCCTGGCACTGCCCACCCTTCCTGGGCAAGTGTGCGCTTCATTGTTGGTGCAAACAAAGGAGCGGTTTGTATCTGCCGAGGAGAAAGGAAGTCAGAGGCAAAATCATCCAGCAGCCCTGGCTATATGCAGATTAAGCTGCAGAAGGTTGCATTAATGTAGCATTTTCCAGACATCAGTTAATCCCCCCGGCCCTGCTCTGTCTCCGTTTCCCTGGCAGAGGTGGGCGGTCTCACCTGAGGCCACAAAGGCAACCGGTGCCCACCTACAAACCTGACATCCCTGACCCGACACCTCCAGAGGGGCCAGGCAAGCTGCTGGGTGTGAAACACAAGCCGTGTGCCCACCAGCATGCCCGTGGGCTTCGCTTTGGCAAGGAACTCGGTCTATTCTTATTGAGGAAAAATGAGGACGCTGGGATTCCCACTAGCTGTCTGGGGACCGAGCTCTGGATCCACAGGCTGGCCATCTCCGAGCCGATGCCTGGCTACAGGGCGAGTGGAAGGGGAGAAGAGCTCTCCTGCCGTTTGCCCTTCAGGGATGCATCCTCTGCTGCCCTGCCCCCATCACCTCCAAGCTGGTCCAAGGGAAGGGTTTTGCTGGGCTGCCTCCCCCAGCACTCGCTGGGGTGCCCTGCTCGGTCTCCGTGCTGAACCCCAGCTCACGGGGAGGATGCTCGGGGCACCTCCCGGCAGCAGTGCCATGCTGGCAGGCCTCGCTTTGCCACGGCCATTCCCTGGATCCCAGGTTCTGGCAATCTCGACCTTGCTCCTCTCGCCCTGCAGCCGCTTGGGAGGACCTCAAGCATCACCAGGATCAATCCACGTTTAGAAAGGCATCACCAAGCCATCCGCCCTCCACAGGCTTTTCCCAAATGTAATTCCCAACAATTCCTAGCACCTGGCGAGAGCCCGGGTGCCCTCCCTTCCCTGCTTGACGGAGACATGTCGGGGACAGCCAGGACTACCCCCATGGGCTCTCCCTGCCCGGCGCCGCAGCACGGCGACCCTGCGGACGCCCGTCGAAGACACAACTCCTCCCTTCTGCTCCTCTTTCTGCCACATCATTTACCCTCCCCGGGCTGCTCCGGGCGCTCGGGAGCCACCGGCGGCTCCACCTCCCGCACCGCGCACCGGACACCCCCCCCCCCTCCTCCCCGGGGCGGGTAGGGCCGTTGCGGGAGGAGGCGATGCCGACCCGCCGCCCTCCCCGGGCCCGGCACCGCCGAGCAGGTGCCCCCCCCACCCCCGCCCCGC